TTGCCGTCATCGCCGGCGGCGGCGGCGGCGACACGTTACGGCCGGGGCCTGTGATTAGACTGCGGGGGGACGCTCTGGTGGAGTAGGGAGAAGTATCAGACGCAATGGCAGAGATGGGAGGCAGGGGAGTGGAGATTTTTTTTCGGGCGCTGCGCGGCAGTAACAGCGATGTCATACACGTCGGTGACGACGTAGTTCAAGCTGCAGTGCCCGCGTTTTCCGGGAGGTGGTGCGGGTGTCGAACGCGCCAGAGAGGAACATGAAAATCCAATGCTCCGTGCGAGGGATATGGAGGTGGTTAATATTTTTTTATCAGAATTGTTATCTTAGACTATGATGACGAGCAGCAGTTTTACCCGCGGTCGGCAATCCAACCGTCGGCGGCGCTTGAAAACAGTTCTAGGCAGATGGTACAGAAGCGGGAGGCACTTGTAGTGTGAGTTGGGGATAAAAATCAGCAGACCACCAAGGTGCTGATGTCGGTGCTGACCATAGTATTGGTGCGGCACCGGAGCCTCAACCACCAAAGTGGGTCGGGGGAAAGTCGGAAGAGGGTGTATTCTGTGAAGGGACATTGGGTCAGCGGCAAGCAGCGAAGAAGTGAAGGGAAAATAACTTTTTTGTGCCAAACAAAAGCGGGTGCCTTCATCGGCAACGGCGCCAATGCATGGCTGCCAGAGGGTGGGGATCGACGGCGGGGAGTTTGACGCGAGAGGCGCTTCCCCGGGGCCTCGGCCCTCGGTAGATGGGATGAAGGTGATGTCCCGCTGAATGTCGAAACGGGGCAGGACCCAATTTTTTTCTGCGCTGCGCGCGCAGTGTCAGCGTTGGATGTAAACAAAGAAACAGCGCAAATATAACTCACGAGCACGAAGTCTCATCAAGAAAGAGCCTGTTGCTTCTTAAACAAGCAGCGCTCGAGTTCAATGACAAGGTGGAGGATAACTCATGAGCAAAATTTCCAACGCTGCGCGTGCCTCAGAGGTTTGATACTCACACATTCATATGCTGGTGTGGCTCAGCGCGGCACGCAGACGCCGCGGCTGCGATGGAAGAGGGCCCGCGAGGCCGATAAATATTCGACCAGTCTAGTACATGACAGCCGAGTAGACGACGGTAGCACAGTATAAGGGTCCCAGGACGCGCATCGGCACACCTCGGTGGCACCGTGACCAGGCGTGAAGTACAAGAGCGGACGGCGCGAGCCATTGAGTAGGTTAAGTGTGCCATGCCATGTAGATTTTTTTTTTTGCAGCGCTGCGCGCGCATCAGATCCGGAACAGAGGTTCGAGCGGCGAGAGTGGCAAGCTGGGTCATTGCGAGTGACTTTGCAATGTGTTGGAGTGTATTGGATGCGACGCGGTGAAGGCAGCAGTGAACAGAAGTTAGGCGGGACGCGTTGTTTGGCGGTCATTGACAGTCATTGACTCATTATTGATGATGGCGGCTCGGCGCCAGGACTATCCATCGGCAGCCTTAGGACTGTAAATCTATCGGCCGACAGAGCTGCGTTTCACGTTTTGATGAGGTTTCCCGCCAAATTTCACCCCTACCTCCATCAGGAATGGCCTTTTGGCGGTTACAGACCTGGCCCGTCTGTGTCAGACCTGGATTTCTGACACAGACCAATACAGACCTGCAGACCAGTACAGACACGCTTACGTTCCTACAGACCGCCTACAGACCGCCTACAGACATGCACGTAAATTCATCACATCATCTCGCTTCAGAACGTTGACGTCTTCCCCAATGAGCCAGTCGTTTCTCCACTTGTCGCATTGCCTCTGTCGGCTTCGTGCAAACGTCGTCTCGGTCACGTACACTCAGCCAGCAAGAGTCAATAAGAAGTAGATGTTTAAAACGGATTCAATTGGGATTTACATGGTAAAATTAGATACACCCAGACTGATTAAGTTTTACCATACAAAATGTGTGTGTGTCGAGATAAGGATTGAAATAAAAGGTAGAGCAAAGCTCTTTGGCGTTCTCCGTGGTCCATCTAGTATCTGTAAGCCCTCGCTCGCTCCGTGGAACGAGAAAACAATTCCGCGCAATTCGGTCCACATCGATGATCTCGCCGTAAGGTTATTGCCGCCGAGTGGAGCGCCGTAACACATAGAAATTGCTGTTCGGCTCTGGTCGAGAAAACGGTGTGAACCACTCCACGTATGCAAACGGCCCCGCCGTATTGAAAGGTGCCGGAAAATAGGGCGGCATGGTGAAGAGCACGCGGACCTGCGCAACCCGCAGCCCGGCAAGGGCAGTCCCGTCCGTGACAGAATTGGCTTCCCCGGTGCGGACGAGGGCAAAGTCTTGCAACCGGGGTTCCGCTGCGGTGCGGGTGTTCGGCACCGCAGATACTGGGGGTGAAGCACGCACAACATTCTTGATTTTAAGGGGGCTGACCTCTGGGATTATGGGCAAGGCGATGGTCATGCGTTTAAAAAGGTCGAAGCGGTCGAAGGGCTGCGGAATATAGATTGAGCCATTCTTGCGGAGGTACGTTGAAATGGCCGAAAGAAAAACACGGGCATTCTGGCCGTCAGGATCTTCAATGAAAGTTACAGGAACTCCGCGCAACGCGGAGGGATGAGTCTTGGCAATTCGGTAGCCGCGGTGGATTTTTTCGAGAGCAGTGGAAGGCACGGCGCGTTTTGGAACACGAATGAGCTCAGAGCCGTCGGGCTCCGCGACGACGACTGGAAGGGGTACGATGGTGGTATGAGGCTTGAGGTGAAGACTCGCCTCGCACCAAGCAAGATAGGCTGTGAATCTATCGACAGCCTCCTGCCGCTGTAACCAGAGCGTCATTTGTGCGATGTAGTCCTTCTTGTTGCTCGCGCGATAGCCAGCTTTGGCGTAGTCGATGTGGAGACGCTCCGGGGACTCCGTATTGTAGCCATCGAGGCTGCCGAAGAGCCAGATCATGGCGACATAATGTTCCATCGCATGAATCTTCGGGATATTGAAATGGCCCTGTTTTGCGCGAACGCCAAGGTCGAGGAAGATCTGCTTGTTCTCGTGGAATGTGTCGAGGGCAGCCCCCAGAGCAGCAAGGGAGTGAGCCGTGTGAGACTCCAAAGACGCAAGGTTAATGAAATCAATCACGGCGTTTACTGTGCGGACGACAGCCGGGTCCGCGGCTTGCCCAGCCACCAGACACGCGAACACCTTCTCCATCTCTTTGTGCTCGCCACCTGTCCACTGTGACACCATCGAAAGCCCATTCTTGAAGTGCCGGACGTCGGGGTGCGAAGGCATCGACTTGAATCGCGCGTCAATTTCCTTCTCGCCTCCCTCGGTAACCGCCGTGCACCACGAAACGAGGTGATCCTTGAAGACGCCCTTGTGTAGCTGGTGGAGAAGATCAGGCGTGAATGCCTCGAAAATGTCGGTATGCGGGAGACCAGCCCAGAACGGGGGGACAGGGCGCAGCCCCAAAGCGGTGATGAATTCTTTCTTGATGGATGATCTTTCCCATTCCTAATCCAGCTCGTCGTCCCGCCCTAGGCACATCTCGACGCCACGCAGAGACCATCCACGGACTTGTCTACGTGCACCGGCGATCAACGCTGCCACGTCGTCTCTTCCACTCTCATCACCATCCTCGCCACTTGCCCCCATCTCAATGCCCACCGTGCGGTGCCTCCTAATCCCAATCCCCTCTATTCGCCGGCCAGTTCTCGCCTAATGAATTTTTGCTCACGCGCATCGTTTCGAGGCCCTACTTTCATGAACTGGCTCGATCCCAGGTGCGTTTGCTTTACCGTGGATTTTTTGCTTCCTTCTCATTCACTCTTCCTTCTCTCTCCCCCAGCATGCAAGCGCACGTACTTGGCATGCAGCTGGATGGTGAACGGATCGAGGGAGAAGGGCACTCAACGTCGGTCGTGTTATCAATCCTTCTACTAATCTCACCAGCTTTTTCTCTCCCCAGTCCCAATGCGCCTACCATCTGCATCACTACCCGCGCTCGCGGTCGCTGTTCTTCATCGCCGGCCCCGCGCTACGACGATTGATGCGTCGCCCCTCAGCTTCCCCGGGCTACGATCGACGCAGGAGTACCCCCACACGCCCGACGCACCGCCTGGGAGCCAGACGCGCAGTGCCACCGGCATGCGCAGCGCTCGACGCCGTCAGCATCTAAAGCACCAAGAAGCTATCGTCGCGGGTGCGCGACATCCCTCCGCAGCGTAGCTACCCGTACGTCCGCCGTGCTGCACCTCCCACTGCCTTTCTTGCGCCTCGTCAGTCCCCCGCCTCGCTGGAGCATGGCGCGCGCCATCCGCTGCGACCACAACCCCGCTACACGCTGCGCGCCACTGCGCGACTGTGACGTCGCCTCATGCGCGCTAGAGCGTCCCCGATGCCGTGCGACGCCGACACGCTCGACACCACGCCAGCGCGCACCCCAGCCCCGACCCGCACCGCCGGCCGCACGGGCAGCGCGCAACGCTCGCGCTCGTCGTCCCCCACGCTTGACATCCCTTTTCTTCTTGAGTACAAATGTTGTGGTGAAAACCTTCGCAGATCCACGGAGTCCAAGACGTGGGTGGGGTACACCCTCGCCCTCGTTTTCATTCTTCTCGTGTCCAGCGAGCGCCGCAACCTCCGGCGCCTGAATCCGGTTATTCTCGCAAGCGATTTCTTCCTGCGCTCCCCTGGTGCGAGGTTATGCTGCATACATATAGGTCTTCTAATCAAACGTGGTGTAAGGTATGTACACCCTCACCTTCATTATGTACTCGATTGCGCCACGAGATTCGGCGAGTTCCCGGGGTTCGATTCCCCGCGTCTGAATGGCCAGCCGATCCTGACGTGTTTGTTCTTCTTGCCTTCCCGCATACAAATTTTGCGGTGGAAACTTCGTAGTTCAATCAGACGTGGGTCTTCTTGTATCCGGCATCCCGGCGCCTGAATAATTCAGTTTAATTGTTCTCGCAAGTTGTTTCTCTTGCGCATCAGGTTGTACTGCATATGCATAGATATGGGTCCTCTAATCAGATGTGGTGTAAGGTACACACTTGCTTTCATTATGAGACCAACGTCCGGGGTTCGATTCCTCGCGTCTGAATGCTGCCTCCACAATTTTTAAATTTCTGTCCTATTTTTTTTCTTTCCCGTTTGTTCACCTGCGTCCAAAAGGAATTTACGGTTTCTGTTGCTTCTCCTTGTCCATCCTTTCTTTCTTCTTTCTTCATCCTTCATTCTTGTGTTTTGGGATTAAAACGAACATTCGCAGTCAATAATATGAGTATCAAGTATGCGATGACATTGGAAAGGGACGTCCAAGGTCCAGGTGAGAGAGAAACAGAAGCCTCCCGACACAGATATCTGAGCAGTACAGAAACAAGCACGTTGTGATCGCGCCCTTGCATTGGGTTGCTACTATGTCTCACGATGCCTGCTCTGCTTCGCGCTTGCCCTCCCAGCGCGAGCCGAGGCCGAAGCCAGTAGACGCGGCCAGCCATGTCCCGCGCAAGGCTCTCCCTCTTTTCGACATCCCGTCAGCGTCAAGCATCGAGTGCCCTTTCTCCCACCCTATCTCTCCCCAATTACCACCACACACCCCCTCCCATTCAACTCCCGCCACTCCCCCCATTCCTCCCACCCCGCGCACGGCCCCACCCCCGCGACCCACCCGGGCCCATCCAGCACCACGCGCTCCAGCGCCGCCGCGTGCGCCCTAAGGCGCCCCAGTGCCTCCCCGGCGAGCTACTCCGCGCCGAGGTACAGGTGCACGCCCGTGAGCGCGGGCGCGGGCGCGTCGGGCGGGGGCGGCGCGTCGGTGGCGGAGAGGAGGCGCGCGGGGGAGTAGTGCAGCGCGGCGAGGGCGGGGAGCAGAGCGAGGATGGCGGGGAAGGGGACGCGCGGGGGCGAGGCGGGGGGGAAGGTGAGGGTGACGGGGGCGCGGTCGTCGAAGAGAGTGGGGGTGTGCAGCGCGGGGAGGACGGGCCATTCGAGGTGCGCAGGCGCGATGGTGAGGTGCGTGAGCTGGGCGAGGTTGGTGGCGTGCAGGATGGCGTGCACGCAGGAGGGTGTGAGCGGGAGGAGGACGAGGGATTGCAGACGAGGTAAGGGCGGAAAAACGGGCAGAGTAGCAGCGGAGAGGCCGGTGGCGATGCTGGATGAGCTGGAGAGCGAGGGTTCTAAGTAACTTGACCACTCATCCACAACACCTTCCCTCTTCTCGCACGTTCCCTACAGCGCCGTCGCCTCGTCCGCATTCAAAATGAGCGTCGTAAAGAACGTGATCATCTCCACGAACGCGTCCGCCTTGATATCTACAAGTCGAGTCAGCGTAGCTCCACAAGAAGATCGAAGAGAGAGTAATATCGAGTCGGGGTGAGGGGGGAGGGAGAGGGAGAGGAGGAAGAGACACTCACGCTCATCAACGGTATGTATGTTACCCAGCCCCCCGCCAATCATGTTCCCGTGCCCGTAGCGGAAGATGTGCTTCGACAGCTCCCAGTTGAAGCGCGTGTCTGTCAACATGCACACTCACCCGTTAGCCTACTATATCGCGGAGGCAGACGGACGCACCGGTGTTCCCGGTCATCAGCCCCGGCGCGACGTATATCTCCTCCTCCTTTTCCCCATCCTTGCCTTTGATGTGGGCGCTCCGCGCAGCCCGGAACGTCGCGCGGATCGTCCCCGCCAGCAGCGCATACGCGCGCCCGCTGCTCGGCGTGACCGGCGCGGGCTCCAGCCCCCGCGGCGCGCTGAGCTCGAGCGTCCCGGCCGCCGCCGCCGCGTCCGCCGCCGGGGTGAGCCGCTCGCCGTACGCGGTGACGCTGAGGTTGAAGCGCGCTGCGAGGCCGCGCACGAGCTGCGCGTCGCGCGTGATGGTGGCGTTGACGGAGCTTTGGGTCGCGATGCGGTGGTTGACCAGGGCCTGTGTCCCGTATACACCCGATCAGTGCCCAGGAAAAGAAAGGAAAGGAAAGGAAAGAGAAAGGAAGGCGAGTGAGACGCACCAGCGCCTGCTCCGGCAGCGCGTTGCTCTTCACGCCCCCGCTGACGATGTCCACCGCCTGCGTCGTGCCCACCAGCGCGCGGAACATCGTGTCCTCCAGCAACAGCTTCTCCGCGCGCTTCCGTGCGCGCTCGCTCTTCGGGGCGCGGAGGACGGCGCGGCGCAGCGGGCGCGGGATGGCGGGCGCGTGCGCGGCGAGGCAGGCGGCCATGGCGAAGGCGGGGGTGGCGACATCGAGGGTGGGGACGGGGGCGTGGGCCTCGAGGTGCACGATGAGGGCGGCGAGCATGCCGATGGAGGTGTGGGCGGGGGGGACGCTGGGTGAAGAGAAGCGGTCAGTCGGGCTCGGTCGACATAAATAAGAAAGACGATGGGAGATGAAAAGGAGTGAAGGAGGGAAGGGGGCAGGAAGGGAAGGGAAGGAAAACCCACCTAGAATGCCCACCGGGGGTCTTTATCTCGATGTTCACGTTCACGGAGCCCTTCTCAGCCACGCCGGGCGAGGCGAAGGTCGCGCCGTACGTGTCGGTGAAGCCAGCTGTGGAATGGAGGCTCCGTCAGACTCAGAACACAGGAAACGAAGAGGGATGAGGAGGAGCGGAAGGACGTACAGCCCTCGTCGACGATCAACGAAGGAGTCCGGGCCGAAGCGCTCGAGGAGCGCGGGGCCGAGGTGAGCGGCGCCCTGTATCGATATTTCAGTCAGTATTATTTCGGCAAGATGAGTGGAGGGACGGCATACGTGGAATCCTCCCCCCTCCTCGTCGAAGCCAAAGGAGAGCACGACAGTGCGCGTCGGCGCGAATCCCTTCTCGAGGAGGACCTCGATGGCCGTCCTATGCCGTATTCGATCAATCGAGGCAAGAGCAGAGTACGGACGGGACGTACAGGATACCGATGACGCCGCTCTTGTCGTCAGAGCTGCCGCGGCCCCAGATGTTCTCGCCTGCAGAATGCATAGATGTAAGTATGAGTGACGATAAAATACGAAGTAGAGAGCCGCACCGTCAAAGTGTCCTGAGTACGCGGGGAAGGTCCACTGGTCGGCGCTGAGGGGAGCGACGGGGACGACGTCTGCGTGCAAAACGAAAGTATCAGCAGGTTAGCTGTGAAGATCGCGAACGCGGTCCTACCGTAGTGTCCCATAAGCAGGATCGGCTTCAGACTCGCGTCGCTGCCTTGCCAGGTGTAGATAAGCCCGTATGTGTTCACTCTCTGCAGCGGCAGGTTCGCGTACCTGCCCACCCCGTTAGTCCATGTCCACGGCCACGGTGCGATTGCGACTTGGCATGAAACGAAATCGTCCTCACACAAGCGGGAACGCGCTAGCAAGATGCTCGAGGAACGGGCCGCGGGACAGCCAGCGCTCGTCCTCGCCCACGGGGCCCATCTCGTCGTACGTCTCGGTCGGGATCTGGACGGCGGCGCTCAGTTGGGCGACGGCACGGTCGCGGAACGCGGTGGTTGCGTGGGAGGCAGTGAGTTCGTTCCAGAGCGCGCCGTTCTTGGAGGGCACGAGCGGGGACTCTTGGGGACATACCCCTGCCGCCGCGGAGTTGTGGTGCGGGGCGGGGTTGGTGTGCCAGTGACAGGCAATCGGCGCAAGGACGAAGAAGAAGCGGAGGAGGGCGGTGAGGGCGACTACGCTGAGGACGAAACGGAGGCGCGCACGCCGAGGAGGAGGAGGTGCGCCTCCGGGGAGTATGTCCGCCTGAGATTCGGATTTTGAGTCCATGGTGGGAGGATGAGAGAGATTTAGATCTCGCCATCATGTCGAGTCCGCCGCGGCGGAGATTGATGACGGCCCGCCGCGCGATAGGCCCTTTCATCGCGGTTGTTGCTCCAATTTCATGATTTTAACCCAGCTTCAAGCGAACCCCACAAGGCTGAAAGGCGACCCAGAATTGACCTAGACAGCTCTGGTGGCACTTGGAATTCGCAATCTTAGATGCTAGGAACGAGATTATTGTCCAGTTTCTCTTCCCAAATCGCGGGACGACGTGGTTGAGTGGAGGGTGTGAAGCTAAACGTAAGCCGCTCACTTTCTTCCTTCTTTCACACAACTTTTGTGAAGCAATCCCCACTCGCGATGAAGATCCAGTCAGAAAGTCCAGGACATCTCGAGTTACTGTGGGTAACTGTGGTACAAAATGCGGTACGAAGATACTAATACATTATTTACAGCTTCACAAAAAAACCCAAAGTTCCCCTTTCGCTCACTGATTCAGACTTCATCACCTTCAACAATCAAGTCAGATGTACTCTGAGCTTGCGTTTTCCAAGTCCTCTTGGTCCCATCCCCAGCTCCCGTCTTTCCAACCCGACTCGTAGTGCTCCTCGTTCTCATTCATCCCTTGGTATCCAAACAGTAAGGGCAGAGTCGTCACCAGCGGCGGGCTCGTCGTCCAGTACTCTTGGAAAGTGCACTCTCCTTCGAGGACTCCAAGAAGCGACGGCACGGGGACGTCGTACAAAGACTGATAGACGACGTTCGGGCACTCCTCGCGCTGGACATGCATAGCGCTGAATTGAGCCTCGTCACAGTCGTCGAAGCGTGTCGCAAGGGCGGTGAAAAAATCCCCAAGAAGATCGCCCACCCGGGCGGGTTCGGTATCGTCGACAACGGGGAGTGGCCACTGAGAGCAGGCTTCCATGTCCATGAGGATATCGTCGATCCCGGGCGAGGCTGACCGCTCGCGCATCAAACGCGCTGCCCACGCGTCCTCGAACTGGCCGTTCCCGGGTATCGAGTCTTCAGACGCGTCTTGGGACTCTTCGCTAACACTGTCGTTCTCGCTCTGCCACTGGGGCTCGGGTGTGGGCGGCGCTGTGCGCCCCATCGCGTCGGTGAACTCGGTGTCGTCGTAATCATCGTCGTCCCCGCTGTCGCTCTGCCACTCCTGGCTGCTCAAAAGATCCGTCATCGAGGAATCTCCGGTCTCATCCCCATCACTCTCAGTCGTACCGACCCCATTGAGGATAGCGAGAAGCGCGTCCGCGTCCGGAGACCTGCGTTTGCCACGCGCAATCGCGGTGAGCGCCTCCCGCGCCCGTGGGCTCAGCAACGCCTCGAACGGCATCGCATCCCGCACGTCCGC